CCTATTGCCCCTGGCTCCTGTCATCTTTGACGGCAGTGAGGTGCAGATAAAGATCACTTTTCTAAATGTTTAGGGGCCCTGCGGGCCAGATAGAATGGCCTGGTGGACCAGATATGGCCCACAGGCCGTATTTTGCCTGCCTCTGTGCTAGGATCCAGAACAAGGCCAACACTGAGCAATCAGCTTACTATAGTCCTCTTTGCAATGGACTGAGCCCCAACCAACCTGCAGATGTGAGGTTCAAGTTCAATCAAGATTTTGAGAGGTCATGAACATAGTCATCAAAGTCTTTTACTAGAAAAAAGTAAGTGCATTGAACAATGTGACACAAGACTTAAGTAAAATATACACCGATATATATATATATATATATATAAAACATCAAACATTTAAAACGTGTTCCCTGAGCTGACTGCTTATTCCTATTGAGATGTTCTAATCTGGTCACTCTTATTCTGGCCCCTCATAGCAGCTAGTCAGGACAGAAGACTCTTCTTGGTGTCTGCATTCTTCTACTGACATCTGGTATAGTAAACTCAGTGGTTCCTTTGTATTAGGTTCATTTTCAGCTCTTTAAAATATATTCCTGTGTTTCTTATTTTCCAGCATTTAATCATAAATACCACAAGAGCATGCATTTGTGAGACACAAGAAAGCTTCCTTCCCAGTCAGGACAGTCTCATCCAGAAGCTTATACTGATGCTGAATGTGTCTGAGGAAAGGTTTTCACCTCAGAATAAAAGCCTAAAACTTTACTGGAATTGAACCAAAATCCCTCAGTTTACTGTCTGTGCCCCTTATGGAGCAGGGTTTAGAATGGAAATATTGGTGGGCATCTACTCAAAGTAGCTTGGATGTCGAGTCAGCAGAAGCCTCTTCTATTACAAAGCCTTAGCAGGACTCCTCCTACATGTGTCTTTCACGATGAGAAAACCATGCTGAGGTTGAGATGTCATCACCTAAACTTCCCTGAGTGGTGATGCCCCAAACGTGGAGCCTCTTTTTGGGGAACACTTGAATTGCTGCCACCAGACCGTGACTGCAATGCCACAGGTGTTGTGAACCACTGGATTTCCTTCCAACGTGGGGAGCTTACTTTAAAGTTTTGTTTTCTGTTGCATGTGCTGCGTCCTGTGATTCTCTTGACTTGGCGCTATCGGTCCTCAGGGTGATGGACGCGTTACGTTGCCATCTTCTCAGAATGCTGTAAAATTCTTTTCTGACATTGTTGCTAGCCAGTACATAGATGATTGGATCTGCAATGCTGTTTGCAGTGGAGAAACACAAAAATACCACGAATGTGGTATATATTTCCTGTTCAAAACAGCACGAATCATTTGGAAATAAAATATAGTGTACGGCTCTTATTAGGAGCACCACATGATAGGGAGCAAAGCACATGAGAAAAATAATGATGATGGCAATTGCCAGGTGCTTCACTTTAGCTTTCTGGTGAACATTTAAGCCGCTGCTTATGTTCGTATTTTGGAAAATTTTGTAGTTTGTGAAACTGATGATTGCGAAGGGAATGATAAATCCACATAGGAACCTGGCAATGCCAAAATAAGCCAGTGTTGGCTCAAGTGGTAAGGTCTCAAAGCAGGTTTTCTGCCCTGAAGTCTGTCTGCCATCATCAAGAATAAACACTGGGCAGTGGATTACTGCCACTACAGCAAAGATAACAACTGTGATGAAAACTGCAGTTCTCTGATCTCTAGTCCCTCTGGATTCCAAAGAGTATACTACTGCCACATAGCGATCAATAGATATACAGCACAGCATCAGAACGCTGATGTATATGTTGCAGAAAAAGATATATCCTGTTATGATGCAAGTTTCTGATCCCATCGTCCACTGGTGCTCATTTTGTACATAGACAATCCAGAGAGGCAGGGTACTCAAATACATCAGCTCACATAATGATAAGCTGAAAAGGTAAATGGCAAGTATATTGTGCTTTTTGATTTGTAGCCATGTTAAGTAGGCAGTTAAGCAATTTGCTGGCAGACCGATGGCAAAAACAATACTGTAGACTGCAACCAGAAGTATCTCACTGTTTTGAACAGGCATCTGTTCACACGAGCAGTTTGATCTATTCATCATGCTGCAGTGTACAGAAACGTGAATATGGTCTTGCTTGATTTACATTTCCTGTGATGAAGAAACAAAATGGAAAGTTAGAAGTTGCAAAAGAGTTAAAATATGACTACACAGGCAATGGACTGACAACACAAGGCTAGAGCGCACAGACTGCTTCTGAGCGAGGATGTGAAGGTTTGTGCATGGTGCAGTATTGGAAATAGTTTTAAGTGAGTGCAACTCTATCAAAGTCAAAGCTGGTAAAACCTTGTGAAGATTAGGCCTGGTGAGCTCATTACTTATTTATATTGCAGTAGCACTAGGAGTGCCAACCATGGAGGGCTGTGTGAGGCTTCAGATCCAGAGAAGATTCAGAAACTTTGGATGCCAAAGCAGCATGTCTGGATCAAAGCGCTGGCTTCTTTAGGCTTTCCGAAGCGGTTTGGAGCTTCTGAACCACTTCAGAAAAGCTTCGGAGCCACTTCGGAGATCCAGCCATAGGGTATAATGGGAATCAATGAAATAGCTACAACTTTGTTGTTTGTTGTTGGATTTGGATGAAGCTTGCAGGGGTGGTAGCCTCTGCTGAGAGCATGAAGTCTTCCCGGTTTCAAGAAGATAGGTGCAGGGGTTTGGGCGAAACTGCACCCCAAATTCTTGAAAGCAAAGCTCATGTCACGTGTATGTGTTACAACACAGCAGGGTGAAAACTGCAGACGTCAGGGGGGGGGGGGGTGAGTGTGAAAACTGCGGGGGTGGTGGCCCCTGCTCAGGCCACAAAGCCTGCCAAGTTTCAAGGAGATAGGTGCATGGGTTTGGGGGAAACTGCACCTCAGGCTGAGGACAAGCGAAATTTGTGACGTGGGTGAAGTGTGTGTTAAGGCACAGAAGGGTGAAAGCTGCAGGCCTGCTAGCCCCTGCTGCAGCCACAAAGCCTGCCAGCAGTAGAGGAGGTGGCTGCAGGGGGGTTCTGGGGCCCTGTACCTCTAGCTGCTGACAGGCAAAACTTGTGACATGGGTGCTTGTGCAACTGTGTCTGTTGTGGGGCAGGGGAGGGGGGTGGGGGACACGACTACTGCAGGCCGGGCTGCTAGACTACTGTGCTATCAGTTACCAATCAATCATGATTCACTCAGGGACCAACTCAATACACAGTACTAATGTAACCAGTTAATTAGCAAGGATTAACACCTACAAAACCACAGACTAGGCAGAGGACATAATCAATACAGACAATCAGCTGCCCCAAGCCAGAGACAGTCAGCTGCACAAGCACCCATGTCATGAGTTTTGTCTGTCAGCAGCTAGGGGTGCAGGGCCCCAGAATCCCCCTGCACTGATCTCCTCCACAGCTGGCAGGCTTTGTGGCCGCAGCAGGGGCTACCATCCCTGCAGCTTTCACCCCACTGCGCCTTAACACACCCAGGGTCATCTATGTCATGAATTTTGCCTGTTAGCAGCCAGAGGTGCAGGGCCCCAGAAGCCAGACTCCCCCTGCACCTATCACCTTGAAACTTGACAAACTTTGTGGTCTCGGCAGGGGGGACCACCCCAGCAGCTTTCACCACACCATGGCATAACACATACAGGTGACATGAATTTTGCTTTAAAAAATGTGGGATGCAGTTTCTCTGAACTCCCCACACCTATCTCCTTGAAACTTGGCAGGCTTTGTGGCCTCCACAGGGGCTACCATCCCTGCAGTTTTCACTCCACTGTGGCTTAACACATACAAGTGACATGAGTTTTGCTTTCAAAATTTTGGGGTGCAGTTCCCCCCAAACCCATACACCTATCTTCTTGAAACTTGGTAGGCTTCATGCTCTCAGCAGAGGCTACCATCCCTGCAAGTTTCATCTAAATCACAGACAGAAAACAACAATATTTAATTGATTCCCCATTATACCCTATGGCCGGATCTCCAAAGCAGCTCCGAAGCTTTGGAGCCAGTTCGGCTGAATCGAAGCCGAAAACCAATCCAGAGCTCCGAATTGGATTGCTGGCATCTGAATTGGCTGGTTCTGAAACCGAATTGAATAGCTGCCTATTTGCATAGGCCTAGTGCTGTACAAATATAGAACAAGAAGCTAGTTCTTGCTGCAAGGGGCTTGCAATCTAGTCCAGTGATTCTCAACCCAGGGGGTCTGAGATCCTTTCAAGAGTGGCACAGGGTGTAACACACATGCAGACAGAAGTGCAGGTCCCCACCATAACTGAGAACACTTTGCAGGAAGCGTTCTGAATTACAATGATCCCCCAGACCAAACAGAAGTGCACTGTTGGTTCCAGGGGGAGGGGAGTCTAGCTGTTGGCTGCCAGCCTGCAGCTGGTTTCCCATAGCAATGGCCCCTCCTCTCTCCCAGACTGTCCCTGTTTCAGAACGGGAGGGGGAAAGGGAGCAGAGGGACCTCATTCTAGGGGTTCCCCAGCCTCTGCTGGGTCAAGTGGAGCCCCCACCTTGGGGGTTCTCCAATACATCCTCCCCACTCTCCAACGAGGGCTGAAAACCCCTGAGACCAAACTCCCTCTGCTCCTTTTTACCCCCTCCCACTCTGAAAACAGCTTGAGGCTGGCAGGCAGCACAGGCAGAAGTTACAGGACTTGCTCTGTTTTGAAATGTGTTCATCTGACCCCTCATACAACGAGGGTTCAGATTTTCACCTGACTGGCCAGTTTTGAAGTGGTCTGCAGCCATGCATTTGTGTTTGGTAACAGCTATAGACTGCTTTCTGTGGACAGATTGGGCAAAATCCGTCACTTCTGTCTGTGCCCAATGTTAGCACTGTTAGGTGCCCAAACATTATTCACATGATAAATTCAGAGATTTCAAACAGGAATCCATAGTGCTAAAATCTTTCTGGCCTGTTGTGATCTTTCCAAGTTCTTTGCATAAATGAATTACTCTATTATTTTCCTGTAATCAAAAAAACAATGAAAACTAAGAGCTGGCATCTTCCCAGGGTTGCTTTGAGTCTAACAAAGGATGCCTCAAGTCTAAAAAAGGTTGAGAACTACTGATCTAAGCAATGGTTTCTGTTACATGGTGCTTACCTAATAAGCATTCTTTGTATTATGAACTATTACATAGACCAGAGAATCTGCAGCATAAAAGAAAACTTGCCTTTTTCTAACTGCCTGCCCTTGTGGCCAGGATGTTCACTCCAGTTCCCATGGTTTGGAAGATCAACCACAGATATTACCAGAATTGCTGGGCACCTAACAGATCTCTACAGGTTCTTTGTATACACACCAGGCTTTGGGTTTCTTGTCCTAATGGGTGAGTAAGGCTAGCAACAGATGTTGTTGCATTTGTCCCTGAATGGGTTGTGTCTTTGTTCATCTTGGAACAGAAATATCCTGGGATTGGTGTGTACACACATTGCTCTTCTAATCAGGATTTAGTGAGTGGCTGAATTCAGTACCACTTTTCTGCCGGTGATTCAATGGTGCAATCCCAGGATAGCCATTCAGATGCACTGAGATGTCCTGGGATAAACTGTTAGTACTTTTTAGCCCATGAATCTTTTTAGAATGGTGCAATCCCAGGATTTGTCCCAGGACAATGGACATGGGTGTCTGAATGACTGTATTTTGTCCAGGGATAAAATAGTTTACCCTAAGACAAATAGCCTAGGTTAATGACTTCTCTAGGCTTTTTCTGGTAGCTGCCTGGTGTCCATGACAATTCACCAGTGCTTTGCTAAGGAGGCTGGACAGATGCATTTTTTTCTCCTCTGGAACTGGCAGGGAAAAGAAGTGGTTGCTGGGACTCACTGGAAATACAGGGCCACACTACACCATTCATTTTTCCAAAGAGCAGAAGATTAATTTTCACGACTCTCCAATAAGCCACATTAATTAAAAATTGTCTTGCCATAAAACAGATGGACTAGCAATCTGCACAGTTCTGTTCTGAATTGGGAAGCGAATGCCTACCTCCACCTTAAAATGCCTCACAAATGTTACAGCTGTGTTACAGGCAGAACGTGCTGAAGCTGTGCTACTCCTTGACTCAGTCTCAAGATATGAGTGCATGTATGAAAGCAGTGTACCCACCACTCTGTCTGCAGTGAGGCACAGCCAGCTCCTTCCAGCAGGCCAGGTCTGCTCCACTAGCAAGTCTGAGGAGAGGAAAGAGCCACTGCTCCGCTTCTTTCTTACCCATGCCTGATTTCTTAGAGGCTGCTCATGTCCGGAGATGAAGATCTGAGCTCTGCTCAGCCTTTGTGGGCACGTCTACACTATGTCAAACTGTACAAGGCAGTGCAGTTGGGAAGACACGTTCTGTCTTCCAGCTCCCACTTGGCACATGCCACATGCTGAAAAAAAGGCCTTAAGCTGCTCTAATGAGCACCCCCAAGACAGCAGCACTGGGCATGTGACTAGAAGCAGTGACGTGACTTTTTTGGGCACTGGGTGACTGCAGAATGGGAACAAATGGGCAGGGTGTGCTTTCACTCTGGCACTCCCCACAGTCTGACACCATAGAAATGTGGAGCATGTGGCCTACCCAAGGAGAAAGGTGAAGTGGGAGGAGGTCCTTGCTGCCTTACTCTGCCAACCCTACAATGTGCATCCCTGTAAGCGTCAAGTAGAAATTGGTCCTAATGGATTAAGTTTCACAACACCCTACTGCTCAGGAGATGAGAAAAATAGAGGGGAGGCGATGAGAGAGAAAGTGAGAAAGGAAGTGCCCTAAGTCACACAGAAAGTTTTGACAGAGACAAGTTTAGTCCACTGTCCTACCTGCCACTCCTGTGTGCTGTTCTGCGGGGGCTGGATTTGCATGTCCTCGCTTGAGGGCTTCCCCTACAGGAAGTCTCCCCCCACACCTGGCTTCAGCACAAGTAGTGGTGGGGCAAGGTGCTGGTCTCTGAATGGGAATCAGAAGCTGGCCCTGAACCATGCTGCTTCTTCACTAAAACACTTAGCTGGGTTGGTTTAGTCTGGGAGAAGCCTGCCTTGAGCAAGGGGCTGGACTAGATGCAACCTCCCGAGGACACTTCCAGCCCTATTTTCTATGACTATAAGCAAGCTGCTTTCTTTCAGGTGGGAGGCAGGAAAAGGACATG